AGGCCCAAGCACCTGTCTAGCCTGGGGAGGTCCCTGGGGAAGGAGGGGCTCAGGCCCCCATCGGAATCCCACGGTGTTCCTGTGCCTGAGCTGCAGTCTCCACACATGGCAAGTGGGAACAACAAGGCCCTGCTCCCCCAGCCCCCGTGGAGTGTGATGACCTTGTCCTCCTAGGTCAGGCACGTTACTGACCAAAGCCGGGGAGGGCAGGCCGGAAATTCAAAGCCCCACCTACCTCCCAGCCTCAGTTTCCCCTTGACCTCCAGTTACTGGGAACCCTAAGGTGGGACCGCTGGCCCTTCTTTATTCCCACCCCCCACTGGGGCCCCTCTCCCCAAAGCAAGGCAGGAGGGGCTGCTGGCTCCAGGGAGCTTCAAACCGCCTGCCCTCTGGCCGGAAACATTTACTATGTTGGACCAGCTGACATCATCCCCGCCCCACAGTCCCCCTTGATCAGCAGCTTTCTCCAGCCTTGATGGAAGCCGGTCTTCCCAGTTCCGAGTGGGGGAGCTTCCTGGAGAAGGAGTGCTTAAAGAAGGGCATCTCAGGCAGGAGCCAGCCTTCCACAGCCTGTGGTCTCCGCTGCAGTCAGAAGGCACCCGTGTCCGCCGCCTTGGCTTTGCTGGGTCTGCCCTGCCCTTGCTAACTCCTCCAGACCTCCTTCTGCCCTAACTCGCAGCCCCTCCCACCTCCTCTGGTCTTTAGCCCATGTGTCACCTGAGGAGGGTAGCAGGAAGCAGGCACTCTGACACCAAATTCAGTGGACCCGGCCCTGACAGGAGCACCACCTGCCCCTTAACCCTTGTGTGCTCCTCCTGACCCACCAGCCGCTCAGTATCGGACATGTGGGGCTGAGAGCGACCCACCAGGGCTCCATACACAAACATGAAGGGGGCTTCTAAAATTCCACAGGAACACGGAAGATCATGGGAGCTGTCTAGGATCTCTGAAGCCCTCTAGTATGTGTGGGGTACGTGAAGAGGAGGCTCGGTCTCAGAAGGGGGCATGAAAGCTCCCCATTGGAAAAGGCTCCAACCAGGGGTATCACCCCCACTACCCTCAACACCTCAAGGCCCAGGGATTGAGGGTTGCTGAATGTAGGGTCCCACAGTACTCCCCCACCCTTACCTGGCTGCAGGTCCTTACATTCACATTGCCTGTAGGGAAAATGAGGCACAGAACAGGCCCAGGGCTCACTGGGGACCAGTGCTGGGCCACAGGCCCACCGTCAGGGCTCCCGGCTTCTTCAGAGTCAGCCAACCCTCTGGGGGCCTTCCAGGACCTGGGTGGTAGGCCTGGCCATGGCCCAGTCGGTATCTCACCTCCGGGGCGTACAGTCACTGAACCAGAGCAGGAAAGATGTGAACCAGGGAGATGGCTGGGGGGCGGGGCCAGCTCCACCACCCACCCTTCCCTTTGTATAAAGCCATCTAAATCCTTTTATGATGGCCTTTTTATGCCTTTTCCCCCCCAATGGGAGGCTTTCTAAAATACATCTTAAAAGTGTATTGTTTGTAATAAGACAGGCCACCAAATTCAAACAAATACCAAGGAATGTTCCAGAAAAATGCCAACCCCACCCCATCACTGTCCCCAGAGGTCACCCGCCCCCTCACGCCTCCGTGTCCCCTGCTCCCCACAAGTATGCCCGTGTGTCTTCGCCCCACACAAACTACCTCTGCTGCTGCCCCACGCCAGCCCCTGGGTCCTCTCAGCAATACATCCTAGATTCATTCTTGAAGGGCAAAGAACCCTTTTTAGACGTGTGCCTGCTACATGGCTACGAGGACCCAGGCCCCTGCCTCCCCAAAGCTCATGGAAGCAGACAAAAGGACGCATTGCCTTGGGCACATCGGCTGCAGAAGCCCTCTAGGACCAAGGCGAGCCAACTGCCCGAGCTGTGGTGCCGCCCATCGTCCCCTATGAGTATGGAGGCTGGACACTGAACACGGGGGACCAGAGAAGAGTCGAGGCCTTTGCCTTCCAGAGCTGGTGGAGGAGGTGAGCGGTGTGGTGGGCAGCCGGCAGGACAGTACCAAGCCTGCGCTGGAGGGTCAGCAGGCTTCTTAGAGGCAGGGAGGGCGAGGCTTGGGGGTCCTGTTCTTTGGAGGCATT